TAGACCTTTTCCAGTTTAAAGCCAGCTTTGTTCATAATTTGTTCATATCCTTGAATCGTTCGTTCACACCCACGCCTACACCCACACCCACACTTACATCCACACCTACACCCACACCCACACCCCCACGCCCACCCCCACACTCACACCCACACCCACACCCTTCTTGTCTTTGTTTAACATGTGAGTAAACGAAGAAAAAGAAAAGCAATCTCCTTGATGCACTTTTTTTCTCTCCTACCTTTACATAAAAGAGTCGCTACCCTCAACAAATACCACGTTTACGATGGCGTTCGCACGCATTTCACCGCTTACTCTTGATGGTCTGCCAAAATACTTATCATTATGTTATCATCGTTTGATTGAGCATGCGATGTACACATTCGCCGAACTTAATTTGGCTGATCGATTGGTTCATGCAAGACCCGATCAAGGCATGACCGTTCAAGAAATAATGGATGGTGAGCGATCATGTTGGGATCCCAATTTTATTTATCGTCTTTTACGCACTTGTATTGATGCTGACATTGTCCAACGAGTTAATGATGACCAACATTTCGTGTTAACTGAATCGGGACGTATGCTAACATCCGATCATTCATCACATTCTCGTGATTTCGTTCGTTGGGTATTAGGACCACTTTTCAACAATTCTATGTATCAATTACCCGATCTAGTACGTCACAAAGGTGCAGGGTCAGGTATGACGCGTGTTACAGGTGGATTGAATTTGTATGCATACATCTCTCAACCCGGTAATCAAGAACTTGCATCTATATTCAATGGTGCTATGATCGCTACCTCCATGAGCACCGGTACAAAATTGGTGTCAGGTATCAATTACGACCGCTTTACCACTCTAGTTGATATTGGTGGTGGCTCTGGCACATATTTAGCTCAAATTCTCGAGCATTATCCATCTATTAGTTGTGGAATAGTGTTCGATTTGCCATCTGTCATCAATCAAACGAAAGATAGCGAAGGGTTTAAGTCACGCATGATTCCTGAGACGAAAGTCAAATTTATTTCTGGCGACATGTTTGATTCTTCAACAATTCCACAAGCAGATGCTTATCTGATCAAACATATTTTTCATAATTATAACGATGAAAAATGTGTGACTATTTTATCTTCAATTCGCCAAACGAATCAAAATCGTCTCGGAAGACAATCAATAAAGGTGTTTATAGTCGACTATATCATTTTTCCTGGTGATGCTCTGAGCAATTGGCAGGCGCATGCACTCGATATAGGAATAGGCGTCTTTCTTGAAGGTGGCCGTGAACGAACGATTCAAGAATATGAACAAATTATTAACAAAGCTGGCTTTAAACTGGAAAAGATCTATCCTGTTCAGGCACCAGATTCAATTATCGAAGCCGTCCTTGTCGACTAACGTTGATCATTTCGATTTGTTTTTAAACCTAAGCTTGCAGAGTAACTTTTTTTTAATTGATATTATTGATATTAGAATACGTGAATAGCTTATATTGAGATACGTCTGTAGGATATCTGAGCACATGACTATCAAATGCCGGTAACTTAATCTCGAAGATGTAGGTGTGGGTGTGAATGATAGTGGGCGTAACTTAGCATCAGACTTCACTCACATTCACATACACTCTTATATTGTAAAAAGTAAGTTTGGAATAGAAATCTTATTTTTACAGCATTTATCAAAAAATAATGAAGATCAATATAAAAAGTTGAAGAAGGAAGCTTCGTACATCCTCTGAGGTATATTTTATGTTTCATTCCATTGAAAATACACCTAATGGTTGTTCTTGATTATTAATGAGACAATAATAAGAGAAAGAGTAAACTAATTATAACAGCAGGTCCAAAGAATAAGACGTGGGTGTGGTTGTAGACGAGTAAAACAAACAGTGCCCATACCCAAACTCTCACGCACATCTACATCCACATCCTTCATTACTATGTCAAAACATATCAGTTCTATTTGCTTATTATTCTCTGATTGCTAGATGATATCGCTGACAGCAATCTCTATTAAATAACATGTGAAACTTACAATGGAAGAGTTTGTATTGTTGAGCGAGATGATTGACAATGTGAAGGTCAAATGATTACTCTCGGTGAGAAACTAACAAACCTAAAATGTGACGTGTGCTATAACTAGCCTGGATTGAGGTATTGAAATTTTCGATGAATTTTCCCTGTATGATCTTGCTATCTCAATAAAACTATGCTTTTGAGTTTCGACCTGAAACTTTGTTTGCATGAAGGTCTCAATCAGACTAATTTGCAACGAAAAATTCAGAAGTTTTCGACAAACTATCGCCGAGATATGAACCTCTCACAATATTGGTGCCTTACTACAGAAGGGATATAATTTGAGAGGCTCATATCTCGAAGATACGTAGTTTGTCGAAAACTTCTGAATTTTTCGTTGCAAATTAGTTTGATTGAGACCTTCATGCAAACAAAGTTTCAGGTCGAAACTCAAAAGCATAATTTTGCGGAGATAGCGAGATCCTACAGGAGAAATTCACTAAAAAAATTAATATCTCAATCCAGGGTCTCTATACGTACGTCATACTTTAAATTTGTTAGTCTCTCATCGAGAGTGATCATTTGATCTGAACATCATCAATAATCTTGCTCAACAGCACACACCCTTTCATTGTTAGAAAAATTCTAAAATGATCATTTTGAGTATTTGTCTCATGTACAATTGAGATTTGTTGATTGCTTTACGAGGAACGATTTATCAGTGTTCGATTGTCTTTGACTTGATGTTTTAGGAATATATAAGTCTGTGCAAGATGAGATTCTAGGCATCATTTTTCTAGTTATGATCTCTTTACAATCTTTCTAGATATTTTCTCATCTCACAAAGACTTATATTTGAGCAAAACAAAGCCAATTCGTTACGCATAAAACAATCAGTGAATTTCGGGTTTACATGAGAAAAATATATTCGAAAGGATCATTTAGCGATATTTTTAATTTTCATAGACTTTTTAATGAAGATTGCTTTCACTGACATCATCCAGCAATCGAAGAATAATAAGCCAATAGAAGTGATGTGATTTGACATAGTAACGAAGCATGAATAGGATTTTTCAGAAAAACAAGTTATTTGTGATTTTTCTTCGTTATTATTTGTATTGCAAGTAACAAAAGACAGCAATAACTTCTCATCCTACATCGACACCCGCATTTCACACCCCAAAGTAATGTGATCCCTACAATGAATGTTTCTTTAAAACCTTTCCTAAAGAACTCGTGTCTTTTGTTTTTCTTTCTTCATCCAATAGGCTTTTTTTCTATTTGTATAAGAGAATAGAAAAACAATTACTGGTACCAGAAAAAAAATTTATGCTTTTATTATCTTACAAAACAAAAATATTGACATAGTCAGCCTAAGGTTGACATATACTAATGTATCGATTCTTATAAAATCAACGACAAATCATATTCGATGATACCACCATTTTTTTATTCATATATTTAGTAAAAATCTCTGTTCTGATACAAAATTCCAAGGCAAAACGAAATATGACAATACTTTCATGTATTTTCAAAAGAAAATATCGATAAACCTACATCAATAATATGGACAAATACTAAGAAATGGTCATATGAAGAATCATTTCAAGATTATTCAATTAAATTAATATGGTGTGGATGTAGGTGTAAGCGTTGGATATGAGGTGTGAATGTGAGTTGATCTAAGTTAAAAGAACACCCATACCCTTGCCCTCAACCATTCATAATGAAAAGATTGAAATTCGAATAGAAACGATAGTAAAATAAGCATAACAATGTATTTTGATTTCAGCTACATAATACTATACGAAACATGTTTGCAGCTGCATTCAGAATACATTAAATATCATTTATTTTCAGTTAGAGAAATAACTATATATTGTGTGAAATCTTATTCAATTTTCGATATTCACTAAGAGCAGATGATTGATAGAGGGCACAAATGACGTTTGTACAGATTGCTTGTTTTTTTCTGTATTTGAGTTAAAAGTGCTTCAGTTCGAATTGAACAAAGGACAATTCATACATCAATGTATAGATTGGTGTTTGCCCTGCAAAACGTGCTTCGAACATATTTATAGAAAACCATTACAATTCATGCAACGGGACACAAATGATTATTTAGAAAAATGTAAAGAGTGTGAGTGTGGATATGGGTGCGGATGGTATGAATGTCTTCAACCACACTGATACCCACACCCGCACTCACACTCATTAACAACATCAGGAAACAAAGACCTATATATGATGTTCAAGGTATTGAACTGCACCATGATAACGGGTGATCACATATTCATAAAGATGTGTCGAATTATCTCGAATCTGAATGTATCACAATAATTCCAAAATTCTTCTGATTTATCACCCTGCGATTTTTGGTTATGCGACTTGATTAAATGAAATCTGACCAATCAAAACAGTTCAGAATCGTTACATTGTGATGTACTCAACTTCATGGACTCTTCAAATAAAGAAGAATATAGAAAAAAATCCGATAAATAGGTTCAGCGGATGAAATTGTGTGCAGATAACAATGATGATTACTTCGAACATTAAATGAAATGAAAACTTGTTAAGAATAAAGAGAACAATAAGAAGTTGATACATATTGAAAAATAAAATACGATCTAGTACAGCCAGTCCATAATCAGTCGAAATGCGTTTCATAGATAATTTAGTATTATGATATTATTTGCAGTACAATTAAATAGGGCAGAAAGATAGAGCTTTTCTTAGTATGCCAGATTAGATAGAAAGAAAGTTACTTCATAGCCTACTATACGATATAAAAGTGTCACTGCAAAAACTTCTGATAAGTTCCAAGTATGTTTATTATTGATATTGTACTTCATATCATATAAATTTGCTCGTCTACTGTTATATTTTCGACGAAATTCCATTTATCTTAATTGAAAACAGGAAAGCTGAACATTTTTATAGTCTGCATAGTGAGGTAAGGCTATTGAGCTATATGTGTTTGAAACCAAAAAAATAGAAACATGATGAGTGAAAAAAAGGGAACTAGACAGTCTTCAATAGAAGTACTTAGGGTGTACCAAAAGTTCTGATCACGACGTTACATAGCCATATAGTAAGCTTAAAAAAAACTTTCTTTCTATATAGTCTAATAGAGAAAAGAGTGCTCTATTTTGCTATGCTATTT